CTCTCACACTCACACTCACACTCACACACACACACACACACAAACACACAAACACAAACACACAAACACAGGCAATGGGGTTCAACCAATATGGCTTGTTCACCCGTAAATAATGTCAGTTGGAACATCAGTGACGTTGTATGTCAGTGAGCTCTGAATCAGCCTTCAACAAAAACAATATCCATTCTTGGCCTTAAAAAGTTTGACAAAATCATTCTTAACTCAAGGTCCACTTACCAGCTTTTAACCACATCTCATGGTTTTCCTCTGTATTATCATATCACGTAAGTCTTATAATGGCTACTGACCATGAGATATAGTTAATAGTGAGTAGCTGGATGTTGATGTTAATCAAATTAAATGTATTTTGCATAGTGTCTGGAAATAGCCATTAAATAACTCTGAACAACAGGCAGTAGCATTTAAGTGTTCTGAAGCTGATAGTGCTTTTTATCCATAAGTCAAATATTTCCATAATATCTTGCTCTTTGTCAGAAATGTTGGTAGAGTAGCCAGCTTATGATTATTTCATTTTGAAAGCTAAAGAGAAATGATTGTATTATAAGCAGGAAGGTGTATATGATCAGTGGAAAACAATGGAGGACCTGTATGCTTCACTGTAAGGCAACCAGCCAATGACTTTAGAGACTGATTAGTGGAAAAGTTTTGTTAGTTGACTATTTAATTTAGTAAATATTCAGTAAGCAACAATATTAATGGTCCAGTGTGTAACATTTAGTAAGATCTATTGTCAGAAATCCATAGGTATGTTTTCATTTGTGTATAATCACCTGAAAATAAGAATAATTGCATTTTTGTCACCTTTGAATGAGACGTTTTTATCTACAGAGGGAGCATACCGCCATAGTACAGTAGCCCAGAAGGGACAAAACCAAACACTGGCTCTAGACAGGGCATTTTGTGTTTGTGTTTTGGGGAGTTCACAGCCACAACTACCACTAAATCCTAGATACCTATCCTTTTATTATTACATGTTTTGAAATTTGTGTTATTACAGATGTAAATGTGATTTTGTATTACTTTTTTTTTATTTTTATTTTTTTTACTTGCTGCAACAGAACCAGAACTTTGATATTTAGGAAAGGAAGAAAAAAAAATCACCATTTTCTGAAACAACTGAGGTTGCCTATTTCTGTCTTAACATTTGTCTTTGTTTAAAATCATCTGACATGATTAGTGTCTAGTCTTTAAATCAGTGTTCTTCCAAGAAGATAATAATAATAAGAGATAATCATGTAACTATAGTTACAGTTTCAGAACACTTAATATGCTACATTTATGGATATTTTCTGTGTTTTGGTTCTCTGTCAGAACATGTTCCCAGCAGCCTCTGTTGTTCTGTAGAAATGAAGCATCACCAACACAGTGACTTGATGTTACACTGACATACAAACTCCATGCTGTCTCATTTTACATGAGGGTAAATGAATAAATGTAGAATTTGTGAATGAACAACTGATGTCTATTAATGTCAGATATTGGCCTAACCCTAACACACACACACACACACACACACACACACATCCACATCAGGATCATGTACAGTGTGTACATTGCTGTTGTTGAAGAAAAAACACATTGCTGCATTTCTTATTTCTTTTAGCATGCTTGAATTAAAGGCTTCAATGATCATTTGTGTGTGTAGTGATTTTTTATGAGCAGGTCTTTGATATGACATGGCTGCCAATGAGAGTAAGCTGATTTTCTTGCAGATTGGTGTTTTTGTGCAACAACAGCAATATACACACATACTGATGGCATGAACTAAGACCTGAGCGTAATGGGAATGAAGGCTGAAGCACACACAAGTGATAGACCTGGAAAAGACATCCAGTTATTGTTTGTTTACACTGTGAGCAACTAGATAAATTCTCAAAAGTTGACGTCAAGGTTTGCAACAGGCATGGGATGCTTGCCATTTAGAGGATGTCTTTCATAATGCTCTCTAATGAAAAGAGCGTACCAATGTTTTCACCTGTTTTTCACCTGTTTTAGCCTTCTTATCACAAGTTACATGTCCACTGACTGCCTTCCAACAGTCAATTTTCACTTCTCTAGACACTTAAAACTTGCATGTAGATCCGAAACAATTAATTGTTTAATCAATTTGTTAATCAACAAAAACAGAATGTACTATTTTGCTATTTTTTAATTAATCATGTAAGGTTTTTTAACGTTCATTGGTTCCAGCTTCCGAATTGTGAGAATTATATGCTTGTAGCTCAAACAACCTGAACTTCAGTCATGTTTTCTGATGTTTTCTGCAAGACTCCCAAAATTAGAATATTGTGGATTCAAATCAGAGTTAAAAAGTCTCCAAACTTTTTTTTTTATGAAATCACCTTATTTATTTCAGGTTATACATTTATCCAGGACTGTTGCATGTTGGAATTAAATCATTTAAATTATGAAGGAACGTAAACTGACTGGTTTCATTGAGAATCATAAGTATGATTGTGAATGAATTAATTTTAAAGTGAAGGTAGTAGTTGTGTGTTAACAAAATTATTAATGACTTGCTTGAGTTACACACTGAATCACATCATGTGACATTGCAGTTGTAGAGGCATACTGATTTGAACTGTATAAGTGACATATCAAGCATGGTGTGCAAATTAAGATTTCAGATAGTAATGAATGACAAATGGCAGATACATTATCAACTTGTAAATCTGTTATGGCTAGCATGTTAGCAAACAGTGGACTACTTTTATTTATTATTATGTGCCCCCTGAGCAACGCAAAACATTTTTGATAGATAAAGAAATTCCTGTATATAGTCAAACTTTGTCTGCGTCTTTTTGATAACTTTCCCTTTTACACAAGGGAAAGCATGAACTTGTGCTTCGCTGAGGATCTTTGTAATTCATTCTCGGCAGGGAGGAAAGGCGGTTTATTGCAGTTAACAATTGAATTGAATAATGGAAATATTCAATATAAAACGTTATGATATAAATCAGTTATGACTGATATTTTCCCCCTGCAGTAGTCCCTAGAGGTACACATACCATCATTTGAGAAACACTGATTCACTTTAAGCTGTTTCTGATCTCCACTGACTCCTGTCCTGTCTGCTGTTTGGTACTGGAGAGGTAGTGTACAGTTGGTTTGCCTGAGTTTTTAGCTGAAAATAGTTCCCCACAGTTAGACATGATGTGAGTGTACACACTGAATAGGGGCGGCTGTGGTGCAGAGGCAGGTCGTCCCCCAATCGGAAGGTTGTCGGTTCGATC